CCTAATGGGCTAAATATCACACAATTCTTTCCATCTAAAATGAGTGAGAACTAATTTTGCTCTGAGACTTTCCCAGAAGCCCATGAGGCAACTCGTAGAGATGTGGCAAAGTAAAGCCTGGTAATCATTCATCCTGAAGACAACCCTGTTAAGCCCATGGGGCGGTGCCCAGCCCTACACCTGGTCCTAACAAGGTTTGTATGAATGGAGAAGAGGAAGAAATGAAGAAGAGGAGAGAAGGCAGTGGAGCTCCCCCCCTGCAATTGCTACAACTAACTCGCACCTCTGACATAAATTTTCCCTTTTGTACAATAACACTTGGTTCACATGACTGTCTCTCCCACCTGACAGAACTCCTGAGAGGCAAGGGGTATGACTTCTGTTAGCTACCCCAATAAGAGATCAAAAATGTGCAATGACAACATGGATGAATCTGAAGGGCATTATGCTGAGTGAAATAAGTCAATCACAAAAGGACAAATACTGTATGAGACTACTATTATAAAAACTCATGAAAAGGTTTACAAACAGAAAGAAACAATCTTTGATGGTTACTAGGAAGGGGAGGGGTAGAGAGGGAAAAACAATGGTTAAGAGCTTGGCTGCTAACTAAAAGGTCGGCAGTTTGAACCCACCAGCCGCTTCCTTGGAAACCCTATGGGGCAGTTCTATTCTATCCTAAAGGGTTGCTATGAGTCGCAATCAACTCAACGGCAACACGTACGGGTACAGGTAGACAATAGATAAGTGGTAACTTTGGTGAAGGGTAAGATAGCACACAATACTGGGAAAGTCAGCACAACTTGACCAAGGCAAGGTCATAGAAGCTTCATAGGCACATCCAAACTTCCTGAAGGATCGAATTACTGGGCTGAGGGCTGGGGACCATGGCCTTGGGGGACATCTAGCTCAACTGGATAACATAGTTTATAAAGAAAATGTTCTACTTCCTACTTCAGTGAGTAGCATCTGAGGTCTTAAAAGCTTGTGAGCAGCCATCTAAGATACTGCACTGGTTCCCCTGCCCCACCCCCACCCCCCGCCCCATCTGGAGCAAAGGAGAATGAAGAAAACCAAAGACACAAGGGAAAGACTAGTCCAAAGGACTAATGGACCACAACTACCACAGCCTCCACCAGACTGAGTCCAGTACAACTAGATGGTGCCAGGGGGATACCACCACTGACTGCTGTGACAGGGATCACAATAGAGGGTCCTGGTCAGAGTTGGAGAAAAATGTAGAACAAAATTCTAACTCACAAAAAAAGACCAGACTTACTGGTCTGACAGAAATGGGAGAAGCCTCAAGAGTACGGCCCCCAGACACCCTTTTAGCTCAGTACAGAACTCACTCCTGAGGTTGACCCTTCAACCAAAGATTAGACAGGTACATAAAACAAAATGAGACTAAATGGGCACACCAGCCCAGGGGCAAAGACGAAAAGGCAGGAGGGGACAGGTAAACTGGTAATGGGGAACCTAAGGTCAAGAAGGGGAGAGTGTTAACATGTTGTGGGGTTGGTAACCACTGTCACAAAACATTATGTGTATTAATTACTTAATGAGAAATTAATTTGCTCTGTAACCTTCATCTAAAGTACAATTTAAAAAAAAGTGCAATTAATGAGTAAGTAAAGGAAGAGGAAGAAGAGAAGGGAAAAAACATAAAAATGAACAGAAATCAATCTCCCACATTGCCATGTCCTAGTGGCATCCAAACCCGGCTGCACATCAGAGTTGCTTAAAGAGCTTGTAAAAATAATACTGATCCATGGTTCTTATGTACTGCTGTAGGTTGGATCAATCAAATCAAGGGATGAGACATAGGAATCTGTATTTCCAACACGCTGCCCAGGTGAATTGGACATAACTGGTATGCAGGTCAGTGTCTGGCAGTGGGTCTCAACTTTGCCTGCACATTGAAATCACCTGAGAGTTTAAAAATACTGATGCTTGGGTGCCATCCCCAGAGATTCTGGTGAAATTGTTCTGAGTTATGGTCTGGGCATCAAGAGTTTTAAAAGATGATTCTAGTGTACAGCCAAGGTGAGGGCCCTGGTGCTTCTAGAGCCAGGGCTGAGCACTCAGTTGGTGGAGACTGGAAACCATAGCCAGGACATGCATCCAACTATGGGAGAGCAAGCAACCCGCTCCCGCTCTCACTGCTGTCTCCATTCTGCCACCTCTGAGGCCAAGCTGAGATATCACAGATCCCCCAGCGCCATTTGTCAGGCCACCTTTGCTCTCCTCAGACCCAGTTTCAGT